GTTATGTAGTACAAAGACGTCGGGTTTCATTGTCCATCCCGGAATGCAGAAGACTGAAAGAATTCTTAGTACTTCATTTCTGACATGTCCAACTGGAAGGAGCCACTTGTCGTCATCCATGAGCCAGAAGTATATCGTAAACAAGGAGGTAGGAGCAATCGGAAGCAGAAGGAAAGGTATGAAGAATTCTCCGATGGCAGAAATGGGAAAGGAAGTGTGGACCAGTTTTGTGGAGATTTGAGTAGGTCGCAAATGTGACAAGTGCTAGCTAGGGCTTGCGCGAAAACTGTAAAATCGTATATATATAGCGCATTTGATATAGCACCTTTCATTAAGTTAAAACTATGTTCTTACAGAACCAATGGAAGAATTTAATAGTCGCGGCAAATGATCATAATCTAGAGAGATGGCGTGAGTGGAACATAATCCCTTACGAAACTTTCAACTCGACCGACTCCCTCAACGTAAGCTGTCAGTACTTAGGAACTTCCAATGATGACGACCTTCATCACCGACTCTACAATGTGAACAAGGTGCGGCAGTAAAACCGAATACCTTGTTCAAGGACTGGCTACTTTTCATGAGTAGATAAGGACAGGACTCACAAACGAGTGAAAAGTATTATTCATCCCCATAATGTTGGGACGTCATCTGACATTTCGACACAAGAGACGGGGAACTGGAAGATCCTGATCATTACGGAGCCTGGTAAGGTTAATAGACTGACATGGAACGCGCAAATATAGAACGACCTTCACAAGTGGGCGCCGCAAATTTAAAAGGTACACGCGGCCACCTTGAAAAATAAGCTTGAAAACCGGCACAGCATCAGTCATGGAAGACTAGATCATGGAGGCCTAGAGTTTGCTGCTCGGCATTCTAAGACGAATAGCGTTTGTTCATGAAGCTACTGGTGTTCCATAACCGGTTAGGGATCAGATCTTGTTAATGCCGTGGATAAGTCTATTCAGCCAGAAGTATTCTTTTCCATCATGATACATGATGCGGATAGATCCTGGTCTCGAGAGGTCTGGAGATTCCTTCAGGTAGGCACTGGATTCGAAACTACAGCAATCGAAGTATATATGTATCGTAACGCACAGGGTCGTGCCCCCTATTGCCATTACGTGGAATCGCCAGTATGGCCTCAGAGAAGGCTATCGGCACGAGGAAATTTTAAAATTGACATCTCACCACAGGTATCGGCTCAAATTGGCACAAGCAACATCTCCGGAGAGTCTAATTTAAAGTTTGCCATAGATCACTGTTGACCTTGTATGGCGTTGATACCATGCTCTCGAATGAACCTTGAAATCGCCGTGTGAGCTCATCTTCTCCAATTGAAACGGCAGGCGAAGAAACAGATTACACGTAGCAGGACGAAGGTGAAACAGCTTTCTAAAGAGCACCTTCCAAGCGGTTTCCTGTAAGTCAATGTCGTGGAAGGATGCGGCGTCGCTTCGAGAGGCAAAAAGATCCAGCCGTAGCCATATTCGACTGCAGGATTAATTAGGAACACAAATATGAGAGACGTATCACAGATAGAATTATGCGACCGCTGGGTCTCGTAACCTGTCGTTCATCGAGTGCCTCAATTTGAACTTGAACAGGGTCTACAACGTATTAGGTAGCCTCAAAGGATTACCTCTTACACCGTGCTTTCAACGGCCAACGAAGGTTCAAGAGCGTGTCAAGGAGGCCCAGAGAAGTAGAAGTCTGTTGGTCAGTGGAAAAGGAAGATTCAAGCGAACTGTGACCGAGGACCGTAACTCACGTGCCTCGAGAGCATGACCTACACTGTTATTCAAATATGCACGGCAACGCCCTCGTAAAATTGTTATTGTCCTCCAGAAAAAAAAATGTTCCACAGAAGAGAATACAGAACAAGTACAACAGTAGGTATCAAATCATGCAGCGATGCGAGGAAATGCAGTATTGATGAATTGAAATGAAAGGTTCCCAAAGTAGAATAGAAAGAATAAATCATTCGTAAAATCTGAAGAACAAATAAATGAGTCCTTCGAATTTTTTGAAAATGGAGGGGTGAGGGTATACATCGCAGACTGCCTGGATAGGCATACAAATCGTACCGTAAAGAATATGCGATCGTGAAAGGTCATTCAAGGTCTAGGAGGGGTAACCCGTCAATCAAAAAGCACACGACAGCCGAGCGCTGAACCCGAGACTAACCTCATATCGCCATTACGGCGTCGACAGAATTGAGATAGTTTCTAATAGAGGGTGCTGGAAGCCCGCTTCTCAGACAGGGAGGTCGATATCTCCTCCGCCCCTGCATGGAAACAGTCGATAGGGATCATGCCCTGAAGACGGTGGATATTTTTCCCTTGCTTTGCAAGGATCTCTTCAAACGCCGGCAGCTTCTCTACGAGTGCCCAGCCGTCGTCGAAGAGCTGCAAGATCCTGACGCTGTCTGTGATGGTGACCGTAAGTTCATCGTCACGCGTACTTTTAAACGGACGCCGGATGGGTTCCACTTCCGCAAATTCAGTAGTGGGCGAGACGGGGTCGGAGAAGGGATTTGAAGGGTCGGAAAAGGGATTGGAGGGTACGGCGGGAACAGATGATGTTCCGCACTTCAAGGAACGAGAGCCGCTGTGTAGCGTAACAACGCTCATCGGTCGACTTGAGCTCGAGTCTCCCGATTGGGCTTTAGGAGGCATAGGAAATGAGAACGATTCCGAAGGCGAGAATGGTCGAACGGATACTGGTGAAGAAGTTTCCCGGTCATCACCATTCGGGACTTCCAGATAATGCGACCCATGATGCGACCCGCTACTAGTAGTCGCGATACTGTGGATCGATGTCCGGTTGTTTGCCGGGATTACACCTGGAGACTGTGAATTATCGAATGCGATGAGCATAGGAGAGTCGGGGATTGCTAAGTTGGGACTGAATAGTTGGATATCGTCCCTGCCACGAACTTCGGCCATAGGCGGAAGAGCAGGGACACTATCAATGGAGTTACTCACTCTTGGAATTTGCGCATAATTGATGGTGGTCTCGAAGCTGCTGCGGACACTGGCGCGGCTCACACTCTCCGTACTAAGCCGCGTTCCAGACCTGTTCCACCAGTGATTCCGTCGTTCCGAACGACGTTGGCGGTAGCGTCCTCGTAGTAGGACAACTGTGACGGCGATGAGGCCGAGCGTAATCACGATCACAATACCCGCGATGGCACCGCCAGACAATGAACTTCTAGTATCTTTAGAACTAGAGTCTCCTGTGTTGCTCGCATCGTGAGGGCCAGACAAGGCAGTAGAAGTAGAATCTGGAAAGCCTATCACAGAGGAACCTGCAACTCCTGAGGTAACGGAGTGGGCATTGCCACCATTAACAAGACCGCCTCCTGGGCTGTTACTGCCAGTACCACCAGTACCGCCAGTTGGATTTGCATTACCGGCAACGTTCGCGATGGATCCATTGAAATTGATGTCATTGCTGGAAGGTGAACTGGAAGCACCGCTGCCGCTGGCGCCATTTCCCGATCCATTTCCTCCAACAGGGCCATTGCCAGACGCGCCAGATGGGTGGGGCGAAGACGCTGTGCTACCTCCCGTCCTGACACTCGTGGAACCCGCGCCATCAACAACCCTTGTTGTCTTCCCATCAACGGATCTCGAAGTTGAAAAATTGTTCCAACTGCTAGTGTCCGCAGGGCCGTCTCCAGTGTTTTCGCCCGCGGCTGTCGTTGGCGTTGGTACCGGGGGGGTTGTTGGAGCGGGAGTCAGGGTCGTTTCATACACTGGCGTGTGGGTGGGCTTCAATTTCGAAGTCTTCGCGGCTGGCTTATTTGTTCCTGCAATAAGTGGAGTGATCAAAGGGCCAAGAAGGGGTATTGAAGGCATGGATATCGGAAGGGTGATCAACGCAGGTGCCCGAGGCTCGAGCGGGCGATAGCCACGGCTGATACGTGCATGATTCCGCCTCTGCCTGGCACCGCACATTTTGGACCGATTTCTCTAGTAAAAGAGAAAAGAGGCGTCTTCAAGTATTGTAAAGAGCGTGGGGGATAAATGAAAGACTCAGGCGGGCAGGATGAGAGCGAGAAGCATAGAGCACGAGTGGGAGAACACTCAGGAGAAGATTCCGTTGTTTGGCCTTACGTTTCGCATTTTGCCAAGCGAATGACAGGGCCGGCATAACGGAGGATAATTGAAAGAGAAGGAATAGAAAATTTTGAATACAAACGAGGAAGGACTTGCCTTTTACAGAATCAGGGTTTGATCGCAACGTGCTCCACTCCACGACCACGTGTACTAGTATGCAGCGAATTCTTCCAGTTCATGGTCTCCTGGGTGTTCTCTACTGCTTCTTGCGCGGCGCAACTCCTTCATATGCTTCGTGTACTTGTTTCTCCTGTGTGGCGGCGGACCGGAAAGCGTTTGTTCAGTGCGAAAGCATATGTTATTCGGCTTGTGGATGTGACTTCTTGTTGACCCATATGTCTATTGACCAACTTGTTTGGGTTGGTTGAACAGACATACCACAAGCTTCTGGCATAGAATCTGCAACTTCTAGCTTCTCCGTCGAACAAGAAGGATAATCATTCTGTCATCGAGAAGTTGGTCTCTTATGAGTGTTGGGCGCCAGGCATATCGAGTTCTCTTGAGTACATTCAGTCCGGAGAGGTTGAGGCACTCAATCACCTCAGGTCCAGTTCGTACCCAGTCTGTGTAGTTGCTTGTGGACCAAACATGCCGTTGCTAACGCATTGACAACAAGAGTATCTCGATATCGCCACTAGTCTGTTTCTGTATTGACGACACCATTCTTCAAGGAACATGTCAACCCGTCGCAGATATTGTATGTTGTTGCGGCCCATCGATGAAGGAGAGAGAGATTTCAGCTCTCGGAGTCGGCTGATACAAGTTGAGTTGACTCGGATGACAATATATTAGCAGTGTATGATGTCCACCGTTCGCGCATCTGTTCAAGTTGCACTAGTAGTTTCAAGGAACGCATGTTCCAATAAAAAGCCTTTCGGATACGGGGAATCGAACCCCGAGCTGCCGCGTGATACAAGGTGATGAGAGGCGGCAATGTTAGCCGTTACACCATATCCGATGACACTACAGTTTCTTTTACTGTATTATTGATCTATGTGATGAGCATCGAACGAAAGATTGATTTCCTTCCAACTCATTTACAAACAAACACCTCTCGACATGGAGAATCGAACACCAAGCGTCCCCTCATCATGAATTCACATCCATGTAAAGGCGAAATTTGGCGACCGTTGACCCATGCCGGAGGATAACTCACTCTCAATTTTTGTGATCATATGATATCAATTGAATGAATGGATGTTCCTCTCCTTCGAACTCAATTACATCCCCCTTGTTCCTAGTAATGTACACTGGTGCATTGCGAAACTAATGGAACCTTGACTTGGTGTCTAACTGGGGTCTGGTGCCGCAAACACCCTCTCTTCTCTTTGAACTTCATATCCTGGAAGTCATCGCAATAGCCCGGACCATATATTCTTTTGTTCCAAATCATGGAAGGGCATCAAAATTCTTCTCACTTGACACTTCTTGAAAGACTCTTCGCCGAGTCTTCGCGTTGTGAATATGATCGGCACGGAGAATCGAGATGATTGTCATGTGTCCACCCTTCCAAGCACTTCTAAGTGTCGAGACCCATCAAAATCTGGGTGTTGAACGTTGAACATTCGCACGCAGGACTTCAACAGTGATGGAATACCTACTCATGTGATATCTCGCGAAGGAGAGCTATCAATGCGACTGCAATAGGTTAAATCTGAGATAGTCGGGTCACTCGAATGCAAACTCCATTTGAATTGTCGGACAATGACTTCACTTTGGCGTACATAGATCTATCTTCCCCTGGACGAACTTATTTCCATCTTACAATATCGTGTGATTTCATTTCAGTCGCCGCGACAACAGAGATCTCGGCCGTAATGCATTGATATAGATCGCTCTGGCTACACACGAATTATGATACAAGTACACGAGGTATTATAAGAGTTGTTTCAAGTACACTATT